AGTTGGCTCGTCGGCTGCAGCAGGAGGAGATGGATAGGCTGGAGATGGAAGCAGCAGCAAACAGAGAAAGGCAGCGCCAGCTAGCTGAGGGACGTATTGCTGCTGCTGCTGCTGCACCTTCACCGGAAGCAGAAGCAGCAGCAGCAGCAGCAGCAGCAGCAGCAAACGGGCCTCTCGCGCAGTCAAACCCATATAGTACAGGAGAAGACGAGTGAAGCAACTTGCTGCTGCTGCTGCTGCTGCTGTTGTTGTTGCTGTTGCTGCTGCTGCACTGGCTGCTGCAGCAGCTGTTGTTGCTGCTGCTGCTGAGTGCTGCAGCTGCTGAACCGTCGCGTTATTGCTGCTGCTGTTCCAGTTGCTGCTGTAGGGTGCTGCCACTGCCGCAGCATCTGCTGCTCCTCCTGCTGCTGCTGCTGCTGCAACTCCTGCTGCTGCTGCTGCTGCTGTTGCTGCTGCTGCTGCTGCTGCAGTGTGAGGGCCCCGCTGAGGACTAACTATACAGAGCGGCTGCTGGATGACGATGGCCCCGAGCATCTGGGCGGTGCTTCGTCGAGGTCTCAGAGGTCTGCTGCTGCTGCTGCTGTTGCTGCTGTTGCTGCTGCTGCTGGTTTTGTTGCTTCTGTTGTGGTGGTTGCTGCTGCTACTCTTGTTGTTGCTGCTGCTGCTCTCGCCGTTGTTTTGTGGCGTGATTGAGTATTCTGTGCTGTTGCTGCTGCAGCTGTGTTTGCTGCTGTTTCCCTTAATATGGCAGTTTGCTGCGGTGTACGTACACCACAGCAGCAGCAGCACCAGCAGCAGCAGCAGCACCAGCACCAGCAGCAGCAGCAGCAGCAGCAGCTGCGTTGTGCTTTGCTGCAGACTCCTCGATGCGTATCAGCCGCCAGTGCATGCAGGGAGAAGCAGACAACCGGCCAGCCGCTGGGCTGTTCTACACTCAGGAAGCTGGTGAGTCCTGCTGCTGCTGCTGCTGCTGCTAGTGTTGCTGCTGCTGCTGCTGCTCGTGTTGCTGCTGCTGCTGCTGCTGCTGCTGCTCGTGTTGTTGCTGCTGCTTCTGCTAGTGCTGCTGCTGGTACTGAGGTGTGTTGCATAGAAGTGACATCCAGTTCGCTGGTTGCTGCATGGGGCGCCAGCAAGCAATCAGCAGCTGCTGCTGCTGCTGCTGTTGCTGCTGCTGCTGCACCTGCTGCTGCTGCTGCACCTGCTGCTGCTGCTGCACCTGCTGCTGCTGCTGCACCTGCTGCTGCTGCTGCACCTGCTGCTGCTGCTGCTGCTGCTGCAGGGTGGTTCGGGGGGAGCATGGGGAGATTCGCGTTGGTGGGTATTCTTTGCGGCAGCTGCTGCCTTACATTCTGTGGCTGCTG